TATTCTTTCTTCTCTACACCTGAGACACCCTCTGTTTGGTTTGGTGACCTGGGGCAGAGCCGGAAGCCAGAAAGGCCTTTCAAGTACGCTACAGTTCTGTCTGCTTCTGGACAGCCACCAGCTGTCCCTGCAGGGTACTTATTTATTTATTGATTTTTCCGGTTTGGTGGGCCATATGGAAACACTTGAGGGGATTCTCACAGGAGGCTACTGAGCATTCTGGTCGGTGTTAATGGTCTGCTGCCACTGTTCATACGGTGTAAACCAGAGAATGCCCCAGCCTGTAGCTGGAGGCGCTGCTTGGGCAGGAGCTGCAGCGGTCCTACAGATGAGCCTGCGGGTGGGTGCGGAGACCGGGGTGCCACTCCCGGTTGGTTTCTTGAGCTTCGCTGGAGGCTCAGGGTGGACGGGTTCTGCCGGGCGACTGTGCCAAGAAGGAGGGGCGCCACTTAGGGGACGAACCCTCCCAAGGTGTCCGTGAAGGACCGCCCAGCTCTCCGGTGTAGCACACACACAGTCGTGGAGCCTGGATCACCTGGCAGAGGTCAAGCTGTTCATGAGCCTCTGCAGTGAGGCTCACTAGGTGTTCACATGGCCGGGTCCAGGGTTGGGAATGAGAGGCTGGCCACGGGCACCGTGGGCTCCTGCCCATGTTAACCTGCACTGGCATTTATTCCCAGGTATGTGCCTCTCTCTAGATTCAGAGCTCACGAACACATGTGGGTTCTTTGTGACGGCGAGGATGCTGAGTGTGAGAAGAAGAGACAGGCACTGTGCCCACACCCTCTTGGCCCTGGGACTCCTTAGCTGTGGCGCAGAGGCTAAGACTTCCCGGGCTTAAACGTGCTTCCGCACACAATGTATACTGTGTGACGTGGATGAGATCTGGACTTCGCTACCTCTCACAGGCTTGCTCTTGATTTTACAACCAGTCGATTCCTTTCTCACACAGCTTCAGGGCTGCACCGTAACCATGGTGATAAAAGGAGGCAAAGCCAAACAATCTATCAGAACCATGAAAACCACACCCACGGGCGCAGAGTGAGCTGGATAGGGTTTCTGAGAGTGTCAATCTTGACGGGACCTCAGGCTGCCTCACCTTTCTTCCATGGTGTCGCTGGTGGGTTTGAACCACCGATCTGAGTTTAGCAGCCTCAATGCCTAATTTACTAGGGCGCCTTATAAACAAAAACAAACAAATAAATAAAGTCACTGCCACCAAGTCAATTCCGATTTATAGCGACTCTAAAGCATGACAAACCAATCGAAAACAAATTCACCGCCACCTATTTGGTCCCGACTCATGGTCACCTTATAGGACGGCGTAGAGAACTGCCCCTGTGGATTTCTGAGACTGTCACTCTTTACGGGGGTAGAAAGCTTCATCTTTCTCCAATGGAGGGCTGGTGGCTTTGAACTGCTGATTCTTTGGTTAGCAGCCCAGTGTGTAACCAGGACAGTGTGGCCAGGGCTCCTATAAGAAGATAAGGAACTGACATTGTTTACCAACGACTAGCGCTGGTTTGCCCTCGAGCTGCCTCGGACTCGGGCGACTCCCTATGTGGTGAAGTAGAACTGTGCTCCTTATGTTTTCAGTGCCTGATTTTCCAGAAGTACACTACCACGGTTTTCTTCTGGGGTCCCGTGGGTGGACTTGAACTGACAGCCTTTTGGTAACCAGTCCCAGGCTTTATCCATTTGTACCACCGAGGCCTCCTACTGACTCAGCTACTCTGAGTTCCTTGCCAGGTGAGCTACTTGTCTCTTCTCCTCCTCCCTTGGTTCCGTGTCTATGGTTCAGTTTTACTCGGAGATTATTGATATTCTTGAGCTCTAATTGGGTAGCTAACAGCCTACTGAGGGAGATGGGGAGGTTGAGCGGGCAGGGGAGAAGGAACTCACAGCAAATCCCAAACTTTGCAAGTCCCAACGTGGGTTATGTATTGGGCTGCTAGCCACAAGGTCAGCAGTTCAAAACCATCAGCCACCCCTAGGGAGAAAAAGGAGGCTTTCTACTCCCGTAAAGAGTTACAGACTCAGAAACCCATGGGGGCAGTCCTATCTTGCCCTATCAAGTCTTTATAAGTCAGAATCAACTTGATGACAGGTTTTTTGTTTGTTTGAAGAACTGCACGCTGTTACTCCCAGAATCCCATTTCTCTTACGGGCTGTTTACTTCTGTTGAGAGTTGTGAAGGCTGGCAAGATCATGAGATGGCACTGCTCTAGGCTCATTTGGAATGCGAGCTAGCACATGGCCTGGGAGTCATGCTAGAGTCGCCCGCACTCTTTCTTATTGCTACCTCTTCCTCTATACAATTGATCAATAACAACGACCTCATTTCCATTTCTTCTTCCTTATACTGCAGCCCAGCTTTAATGCCCTTGATAATCTCTGGCCTGCACTCCTGTCATCAGGCCCTGGTTCGCAAGCCTTGTCGTCCTGCAGTCCTCCCACCCACCCTCCACGCAGCAGTCGGCATGATGCTTCTCGAACAGCGAAAACCTGGTCTGTTGCTCTGCTCCTTCTGGGGTTCTGGAGTTCCCGCTTCCCGCAGGATGAAGTCCTAACTTCTTGGCAAAGCCTCCCAGGCCTCCACGAGCTCGGGCTTGTCAGCTCCTCTCCAGCTGCTCCTCTCTCCCCGTTCCAGCCCTCGTTAGCCTTGTGTGTTTCCTGCGCACACCACGCTGCGCCCCGACCCTGTGCTCTCTGGGGACTAGGCCCCCACCATGTTGGCCATTGGGAAAACTCAGCCCACTCTATAAGACCCAGCTCTCGTGTCTTGTGGCCCGGGAGAAGATGTCTTTCTCCTCCTAAAGCCCAACTGATGACTCCCTTTTCTAATTTATCACCAATCCTCACACAGCTGCTTGGTGTAGCACTTAGCAAAAGGACACAATCACTCTCCCTGACTGATTAAACAGGTACTGAGTATGCGAGTTGTGTCTTATTTACCCCGATGTCTTATAGTGTACTTGGGACATATTATGCATGTACTAAATACACTTTGAATGAATGAATGGGGACTTGGCTAACCAAGTTGTTGCTCTATCAGTAATAGGCTTGAGTGTTGCAACTACTTCCTCATAAGAAGCCCAAGCTATTTTAAATAACAGCTCTGTTTGTTAGGGCCAATGACCCGGAAGAATACATTGATGTTTTAACATTTCTAATTCCCTGACCTGGATAAAGTCTACAAATGACAGTCAAGTCTCTTACTCAATGGCTGTTTTACTTCCACCTTTGGCTTTTGCCAACCCTTATCTTGAAGTCTGTTTTAGAGCTTTACAGTAATAGTTGCAATTTATGGGGACCTTTCTAGGTGCCACACCCTGTCATACACACACACACAAAATTCTATCTATTGATAGATCCATCATCATCTATGTATACCAAATGCTGTTTCATTACCTCACTAGTACCTCAACATTAGAAGAGGGCAAACAGCAATAAAGAAAATGTAAACATACCAATGAATTAAACTCAGCAGGTATGAATACTTCTTAGCAAATCTTTCAAAAAGCTTAGTCGGTGAAGCAAATTCAACCTCTGGATTTTAGTGAATTCTGCCATAAGTTTCAAGGATCCACCTAGGCAGGCAACAGAGAGCTGAGTATGCTGACACCAGCACTTTGCTAAAGGAGCTAAGAGTATTTTGGCTATTGCAAGTGGAACAAAAATGGCCAATGGGGTTGAAAAGAGAAGGAAAGCTGGTGTGAAAAGAAGAAAAGGAGGTATCAGAAGAGAGCTGGAGGAGGAAAAGGCATGGGGAATTAAAAAGGCCACAGGAGGAGAAGGTACAGAGTGAACAGGAAGGAAGACACAGTGAGGCAGAAGGACAGACCCTACGGTCTAGAAAATCCAAACAGGAGAAGGCCAAGAAAACAGGGTTTAACCCACCTTGTGCAGAATATAAATGGAAACCGACACGGTGTTGGAAACAAGCAGCAAACACAGTATCTATCCCGTCATAGTCTGATTCCTACTGAGTGTTCCCAAGATCCTGAGCAATCGGCATCTGCTCAGAATCCTTTCTTAGAACTTCACTGACTCACTGATCCAGAGTGAAGGTCTTCCCAACATAAAGCCCCCTTCCCAGCCTCTCTCTCAGTTTAGTAACACAAGTTGGCTCAAGCAGATGTTAACCACACAGATTAGCATAGCTCAGAGACACCGGGTGGGTGTCAATGCTCTTCACGGATAAAGGAGCTTGGAAAGCATTCTGGAACGACACAATGGACCAATACCCCCTTCTCTCTTCTAATGCGAGTGTGGCTCTGATAGACTTTTCACACGGATCTCACATCTCCTACCACGTGCTAGACGCTCCCGATTCCCCACCAGAGAACGTGAATGGAGCGTTTGCCTCCCAGGTATTTTCCCATGATAATTTCTTAGTTTGTTCTGGTCTGCAAAATGTGTGTAAGTGACAACACAGAGAATGTGGCTGCTGCGCTGTGCTCCTTCCATTTTGTCTTGTGTTTAGACTCCTCTCCACTTGCTCTGTCCTTTGACAAAGAGCGTCGTTCCCCCGGTTTCTGATCACGTCTACTGTGCTGGATCTCCAAACCCCCTATGTCTTCTTTTACGTTTCCCCTCTGTGGGTCCTACGGTCTCATCTTTCACACCCTGCTGCCCACAAAACCTTTGGGGGAACTGGTTGGCTCTGAGATTCCAGGCAGATGTGATTTCATTTTCCCAGTGCCCAGGGCACACCGGGCAATGAATGAACACCAGGGCCCTCAAAGGCCTTTCATCTTTCTGAGTCGGGAGAACTGAGCCAGTCACCTTATCTTAAATAATTATCCCAGCTTAGGTTGCCTTAGTGACAGGGGAAGCAATATTTACTCAGGGAGCTCAGACTGGATTACTGTGGAGTAATTTGTATGCACATCAGCAGGGGGCTGGCGAGTCCTCAGCAGCCTAGGGCAGTATTTCCTTTCTATGCCTGTCCCTGTGTCCAGGGGAGGGCACTTCACCACCAAGGGGATTGCACTCACCTTCCTCGGCTTCACTTTATCGTGGTAATCATACTGGAAGATTCCTTTGTAGCTCAGTCCCAGCCACCAAGGTATCCCCTGCTTGTCCTAGGACAGAAAAAGGAGTCTTTGCTTTGTACCTTAAGAGCAGAGCCCATCTTGTCGTGGTGGTCACTTATGTGAGCAGACATGGAAGTGCCCTGGGCAGGGGGGGTGGGCAGCTCTGTTTCTGACCAGCAGCCTGGCGATGGGTGTGGCATCCTTTACAAAAAAGTAACCGATGCCCTGCTCTCACCTTTCCCTTGGAGACGGAAGGCCTGTAATACAAGGCCCTTCACTCGCCACCCAAGACCCTTGGAGAGACGTGGAGCAGCCAAATCAAATGATCTTTTGAGGGAGGAGCTGTCCCATCCGAACTCGAAGGGGCCACGGAGATTATGGGAGGGGATGCCTCTTGTTTTAAAGCTAAAGAGATCCCAGCAAAGCTCCCTTCACGTTACCCAGCGTGCCCCTCGCTGCCCGAGGGCAGCTGGGAGTGGAAGGTGCTCATGGGACTGAGGTCCTGCTTGCCCTACGATGGCATCTTCCCACCAAACTGCTCTGCAGGTGCCCTTCCAGCTCGTGGCCATGAGGCAAGTATCACGATCAAGCGCGTCATACAGGTACGTCTGGTTTTCCAGGACGGATGAAAGTTGTTTATACCACACTGTCGTCTGGGAAGGGTGCAATACGGCATTATCAAGAGTGTGACGTTTTGTACAGATCATCAAAACGGGCGCAGAGACACAACGTGAGCTTGTGCGGATAGGAAACGGGCGCCGACAGCCTTGCTCAAAGTCCGGCTGCCGCAAACCTTCCATTGGGAGAAAACACAAACTAAAAACCCGCAGCGGCTGCAAAGTGCAATAGCACAAGGTTCACCTGCAATTTATCAGGGGCCGAGAAGAGTGATCCCCTTACTTACTGTAGTCCCGGTCTCCCAGGCTTTGTCCAAGAAGAAAGGGAAGTAGGGATTTGTTTTAAAAGGGATCATGAGTGTCTCTGTCAAGCCTTCCTGCACCGGTGATAAAAGTCAGTACCCCAACTTCTCTAGCACGCCCTCTTCCTGACCAAGCCCCCCCACCAAAAAAAACAAATAAACTTCTGCATGGTGACAAGGGATGAAGGGCTCAAGCTTCTGTTTGCTTGCTTGCTTTTGCCCCAAGTGTCCTCGAGGGAGGGCTCACTCACCTTCACGGCGTAATAATGGACCCCGTAGGTCGGGAGAGATTCCACGATGCTCATGTAGCTGGAGGATGGAGAAGATCACACGCACAACACACACAAACAATGCACACAGGGCGGTTAGTTAGCAGAACTGGCATCGTACACACGCGTGTGTTTTGTGCGAATGTGTGACATCGTGTGTGATCGAGTTATCTGAGTGGTTGTTGACTTGCCACTGAAATGGAAGCACCGCCCCCAGAGATAACCCGTCCGGACAGAATGTAACCATCTTGACACATGAGCTGCTACCACAAACAAATGCAATCCTCCAGAGTAAAGGGCGACGTCCACTTACTTCACAATGGCCTGCCCTCTGGTCTGGCCATTCAGCTTCTTGTAGTGCTCAATGACTCTGTCCTCACTGCAATGACAAGAAGAGAGTGCTGTGATGGCAGTCCCCGGCCGACGGCCAAGCACCTGCTGAGCTACGTCTCCGGAACTGACCAGGGCCTGTGTCTGGGGCCGGCCCCTTGGCAAGGGAGATTGTAGGGGAGCCCAGGCCTGTGACCAGTGGGGAGGGTCGCCAAGCAGAATACTGTGACGGAGGACGGACTGGTCAGCGCGTACATGAAGCAGTGACCAGGAGGGGACACCTGGCTAAGCTCGCTCAGGTTCTCCCCCAGGTTCATTGCCCTTCGTCCTGTCTGCACAGCATGCAATTGGGAGGGTGGGAGTTGACCGCAGTGGAAGACCTCACAACCTAACCAACCATGCTGCCTTGTCCACCGGGGCCCCTGAAGACATGCATGTCAGAGTGGATCTGAGCCCCACAAGGTTTCAATGGCCACGTTTCCAGAGGACGTCATCTCTGGGGAAGCGTCCACCTTCAGTGAGTAACTGAGTGTGTCATCGTTAGGGCTGCCCAGGGACTCCTATTACACTCTGCCTCTCGGGAGTTCGTCGCCTGGGATTGCGTGCTTCCAAGCGGGATGGAACGTTCTGGAATTTTCATCTGGTTAATGCGAGCCATGAAGCAACACAAGTCTCGGAGGTGCAGTGGAGAAACAAAACAAGCCAACCACCAGATTTAGATGGGAGCTCTTTGACCTTGTGAAATCCTGCTGCTAAAACACCACCAGGCTAGTTAGCGGATTCTTTGGGAGATGACAGGAGTGGCCCCTTTCTTTGACAGTGCAGAGAGCAGAGGGCCTCGTCTGGGAACTGACTACAGCACCCAACGAGATGGCCCCTCTTGCTGCTGGCTTACCGCAGAGCCAACCCTGGCTACGACAGGGCATGTGGCCACAGGCAGAGGTCCCTTCTGGCCTCCATCCATCATGTGGCCATCCCACCTGGACACCCTATTTCTCACTCATCTGCTCCACACCTCCTCCCACAGGTAAAGGCCTGTCTGAGTGTCCTTGGTAAAAGCTCTTGTGACAGGAGGGGATCAAGGGGTGAGTTTGTCTCAGTAGTGAACCCTTATGATCTATCATTCATTTATCCTCCCAGAATCCCCCTAATGCCTTCTTTCATCTACATTTAAAACTAACAAACAAAACTAGACTACCTAATTACTAGGTCCCAAGAAGACCTAATTACTAGATAACTAGTAATGACTTCTAAAAACTAGGTTAGTTATAAAAACTAGGTCAGTTACCTCGTTCTTAGAAGTCATTACTTTTTTAAAATCTTTCAGACTTGAGTTGGTGGCTTTTAATTTCAGGAATCTGGAACGTGGCATATGACTGAAAGACACACTCCGAAATCAAACCCACCGCCATCAAGGCAATGCGGACTCATAGGGACCCTACAGGGCAGGGCAGAGCTGCCCCTGTGAGTTACGGAGACTGTAACTCTTTACAGGAGTAGAAAGTCCCACCTTTCTCCCAGGGAGTGGCTGGTGGGTCCGAACTGCTGACCTTGTGGTTAGCAGCCCAACACATAACCACTAAGCACCAGAGATCCCTCTCACAAGACAGGGTCTTTGTAAACAGCCAGAGTGGGCAGGAGAGCTGTTGGGAGCTTTATCTCCGGGGAAACCCTTATCTGTGGGGTCAGAGCACTTGTGTTCCAGAAGGAGACGCAGATATCGTCTAGAAGTTCTCCTTCAAGTGACATGCACTTGGCTGGCTCCTGACAGAGCATTCCAGAGGAGTTTCCTTTTCAGGAACAGCCCGGCCTCCGTGGGCCAGCAGCTTGGGCAGGAGGTCCCAGGTGAACTGCTAGCTCCCCTCCTCACCCATTGACAACCCCCCATCAGGTTCCTACCACATGAGCTAGGATTTTGCGCAGTCAAGCACTCAATGCTAACATGAGCCCTTCTCCTTTTCAGAGCTTGGAGAGAGCCTCCATGGGGCAAGGTGGGAGAGGACAGGCAACCTTGTGCTGTAGCTATGAAGACAAACCAGGCTCAGGAAGCGCTGCAGGGCATGTCACAACCCCGTCAGGCAGCTGAGCAGCTGTTCATCAGCTAAGTGGCTTGTCGAGCGGCGCCCAAAGTACCCAGCAGCTGCAGAATCTTTGCCGTCCCCACCTGGCCCTGATCTCCTTCTGTCTGAGCCCACGAGTGAAGTCCCAACGGATATTTATGTCTTCCCTTCCCTTTCTCATAGCTTGAGGCCTTGGCTGGTGCAGGTGGGCAATGTACCTAGCTGCTACCAACAGGTCAGGGGTTCAGATCCACCCAGAGGTCCCTCAAAAGGAAGGCCTAGTTTTCTACTTCTAAAAAATCAGGCATTGAAGACCCCATGGGACACAGTTCCACGTGGACACACAGGAGGGCATCCGGAGTCGTTTCAATGTAATTTAGCCCATGTAGCTATGACCTGCCATCGGTTGATACACAGAGTGCTGACAGAAAACACAGTCTGCCTTCTGACCCCTCCATCCTCCTCTGGAATTTACAGAGCGGGAAGCTCTGCAGGCGGCCAGATTCCTAAATGTCCCAGACTTTTTTTCTGGTAGAGATATTTATGCAAATTCAAATCACTTTACAACCTATTTTGTAAATATTCTTATCTCCCAAAAAACATTGTTACGGAAGAAAAAACCCCTTTATGATATTTAAATAACATACTAAATAAACTTATTCAAAAAGTTCCCTCGAGAAGAAAGGATGAACTATTTGTAGGATGACAGGCAAACGTTGAAGTGAAGATAAAGTCATACGAATAAAAAATACTTGCTTCCTCAAAGCCACGTCTGCTTGCTAAAGAAGTGGATTTCACAAGGGCGGGTTGAAGCCTTCAAACAACATGGCTGTTTGAAACGCTCTCTTGTTAGAGGGCATCAGCACAGTCAGTGATGCCAATCTCCTCAGTTCTGGACTCCGTATTAAAAACAACAACACAATACACCCACACACCCCCCCACGTGATAAGTAAATATATATTCACAATCGAACTTTTAAGAAGGATCAAAGAAGAAAAGCACCCAGAATCTATTCCTGGGGAGTACGGAGCCCAACACCCTTGAAGGACCAGCAGCCAGCACAGTTCCCTGTTAGAAAAGCCCAGCTCGCTGCCGCCCAGCTGGTCCTCTGGCTCACAGTGGCCGGGCAGCTCAGAACAGAACGACTGCAGAGGTTCCCAAGACGAAGGCTTTCTAGAAGCAGCTGGACACATCGTCCTCTCGCACAGCCACGGGGGCCTCGCGAAGGCTCAAGCACTGCCCCCCCACCGTCCCAGACTTCCGAATGAGATGACGTGGAGTCACCTAGCCGAAACCCTCGGGCCATCACAGACCGAATCAGAAGCAATGTTTGAGGACCTGGCAAAGTGGTACATGAAGGAGGAGCCACCACGATGGTCGGCTGGGCTGCAGCCACGGGTTCAGCGTGCAGGTACGTGACACGGTCTTCACACAGTCAGCTGGGTGGATCCCGACAAGCTACGGGTGACATTGCAAAGACTGGGCATCCCAGAGCACCTCACTGTGCCCACGCAGAGCCGACGTGAAGACAAAGGGGCAGCCACCCAAACTGCATCAGAAGAAAAACGCACGTTCACTTAATTCCCTATGTTCACTTAATTTGCATACGCCGACCTGGAAGCCCGGGAAGCTAGCCGATAAGAAGGATTCAGCATCAAGTTTGGAGAAAGGCTCATTAACAACCTTTGCTGGGCAGAGGGCACAGCCTGACCTGCTGAAAGGGCGGCAGGCCGCAGCAATTCCCGATGGACATCAGGGAATACCGGCCTCAGCATACATGCCAATTTAAAGTGAAGCAGAACAAAACAGAAGACAAATCCTTACCACTGGACTAGCACGCACGTCATGGTAAGTGGAGAAAAGACCGAAGTTGTCAAGGGCTGCGTTTCATTGGCTCCGCAACCAACACTGAAGGCCCAGGCACCGCACAGCGACTTACATCGGGCCAGTCTGCAGCTCACGACCGCACTGAAGTGTTCCAGAGCAAGGGTGGCACTCTGACCAGGGCCTTCAGTGGAGAGCAAATGTTTTGAGAATGAGGGGGGAAACGAATGTACCCATGTACTGGACACAATGGGTAGATGTATGGCTAATGATGAGAGTTGTAGGAGTCTCCAAATAAAATGATTCAAAGAAAAAATAAAAGATGTCACTGAGGACTGGGAAGTGCCGGACCCAACCCAAGCCGTGGCACACGCCCCATGAAGAGCGGGTCTTAGAAACTCACAGGGGCAGTTCTACCCTGGGGCAGTGGGTTTGGTTTTGGCTTCATTATGCATATAATCTAGGTTACCAAATGAACCACCTACTCCCATCGCGTTGATTCTGAAGCAGGCAACCCGGTATAGCAGGGGTTCTCAACCTGTGGGTCATGACCCCTTTGGGGAGCGAATGCTCCCTTCACAGGGGTCACCTAAGACCATTATTTCCGATGGTTTTAGGAACCGAGACACTGCTCCTCTATCCATCTCCAGGCGGGTCCACCCACATGCAGCTATGCCCACATACGGTCATCACAACACGAGGAACTGTATTTAAAGGGCATGGCATCAGGAAGGTGGAGAACCCCTGCTACATAGGATTTGAAGGCTGTACATCCTTCTGAGAACAGACAGCCTCAGCTTTCTCCCTCAGAGCAGTTGGTGGGTTTGAACTGCCTTATTTTGGGTCAGCAGCCCAACATTTTATCCTCAGCACCAGCAGGGCTAATGAATCGGCACAAAGATGAGATTAGGGGTGCCAGGCCACCAGAGAGAGCTCAACCTCTGTTCAGGGAAGTCTGTTCAGTTCTTCGTCACCATACTCACTCGAGGAGAAAGGATTTATGAGCCGGAGGTGAATCCTGCTGATGAACCTTGCATCCAGGCAGGCCCTATCCTAACAGAAGAATGAACCTCTTAACGCCACCGAGCGGCAGAAAAAGTTGCTTGCTGACTGGGAAGCGCATCTAGACAAGATGAAATGTGAGTAATTCGTGTGTTTCATAAAGAGTCACAACATGCAATTGAGCCGGATTGACTTGTTCCAAAAGTTTGCACTGTGTTTGCAGTTTAGATACAGCCAAGCACGATGATCTTTGCTGGGGTGCCTGGAAGGAGTCTTAGGGAAGCAACACTGTCCTTTTAAAGGACCAAGTAGTCAAGGGTTAGGAGCTGCTCAGGATGTCAACACACTCCCCAGGAATGCAGGCCCTGTTCGACGGTGATGGGAGCCACCCTCTGGGAGCCTGTCAGAGGCCCAGTCAGTCAGCATGGGTCCCCCGCAGAGGGGCGGCAGCGCAGGCTGGCACAGCAGCTCCACCAGGACATGAGACGCGGTGGGAGAGTGAAAGAAGTCATCTCTCTCTTCTTCAGACAGACACACACACTGTGGTTCTCCCACAAAACCTCACACAGCCTGCCATGGAATGACAGGGATTCCAGAAGGACATTCAAGCTGCACATGAAAGGCCCACCGAGGAGGCCAGGCTGCCAAAGTGAAATTTTAGAAGAGTTCATTTCATTTTTCTTTTCAAAGAGAGAAAACAGAAAAGGGAAGTCTCACACAATGGGTGATTGAAATCCATGCGGAAAACATTTTTTTGGTTTATGGGTGTGTGAAGACAATCCCCGCCTCCCTATCTCCCCGCCCCACCACCAGCAGTAGGGCTGAGCTCATTCTAACTTCGGTGAGCTCCCACGCTCGGGTCAGCGCAGATCTGGTGTGTGCACCCCAGAGAAAACCCAATGCCATCGTGCTGACGACTCAGAAGGCCCCTCTGTCGGCAGCACCTTCTATCTGCCAAGGGCAGTTTGGAATCATGGTATCATTCTTTGGCCATACTGATCCTGGTAGTGTAGGGGGTTGCACACTGGGTTGCTAACCACAAGCTCAAGCAGTTCAAGACCACCCTTCACTCCTCGGGGGAAAGATGAGGCTTTCTATTCTCACATTGACCTTCTAACCCACAGGGACAGCCAGCCTCACCCTGACCTATAGGGTTGCTATGAGTCAACTGACTTGCTGGCAATTTGTTTGGTTACTGTGATGGCGAAAACTGCTTCTCTTTGGTGAAGTTAGCCAGGACTGGGGATTTTATGGGACTTATACCGCCCCCCAGACCAGATTTCCCCACTCTTGCTATATAGGGTTTCTGAGGCTGTAAATTTTTAGGGGTGTGGGACAACCTCAACTTTCTCCTTCTGAGAAGCTGGTGTGTTTGAACCACCAACCTTGTGGTTAGTGATCCAACATGCCACTAGGGCCCACGCACAGGGCTTTCAATGGATGGCTTCTCAGAGGTAGCCCCAGGCCTTTCTTCAGGGGCTCTCATCAACTGCTATCCTTTAAGTCCGCAGCCAGGCGCTGCATTTCCTGAGTTCATGAGCTTCTCATCCCCACTGGGGCAGCGCAGGGCGAGCAGGCCACTGTCCAGCCTGACACACGGGGAGTCAATTAAGGGCAGATTCAAGGCCCCTGAGCTCCAGGCTTGTTCTGACAGGGAACCCAGGAGGTTTGCAGAGAAGGGAAGCACATACCAGTAGGCCAGGGAAGGGTGCTCCTTCAGGGCACGGGTAGGGAGGGCCGGCAGCTTCTTCAGATCGCTCCTTACCACTTCATTGCTGAAAGAGAGGGAGGCGGACAGAGAGACTGGGTCAGACGCAGAGAACATAAGCACACTGTTTGATACGACCCGAGCCAGCTGTCTTGTCTGGGAGACCCCACATCTGTTCCTTTTTAGTGAAAAGTGGTGGGAGGAAGCGGGCCTTTCATGTATTTATTTCACAGAGAGGAAACCGGCACACTTCACACGGAGCCGCTGGGCGCAGAAACCAGAGCGGAGTGCTTGCTTACAGATGGCGGCGGCGGCGACCCTCTTTCTAACCCTGCCCAGGAGGGGAGGCTCAGGGCCCTGTGCACGCACGGTGGGGAGCAGAGAGTGTCCAGCGCCCCAACACAAGGCTCTTTGGCCTTCAGAGGGCTGTGCGCTCCACCACACGGCACCCGCATCTCTGCTTGGACACATCATGAGCACTGGAAAGGGTTTTTCTGAGAAGGGGCCAAAACGGAAAAACAAAACTACCCCTCCAAAGCAAAACAAAATTAAACTAAACAAAACTAAAACAAACAAACAAGACCTTTTGATTTTGACCAGGCTCAGAAACTACTTAAAAAGTGTTAAGTGGGCTGATGGGTCCCCTCAGGAGGTTTTCTGCCTCTGGCCCAGAGAAGAAAGATTCTGTGTGCACAGAGACACAGCTCTCAGGCCTGGAAGGCGCCCCAGAGCCAGTCTATCAGCCTGTCCCAGATGCCCCAGGCCCCTTGACCACACCCAGCACAGTCGTGTGTCTCCCCCTCACCCCCACCCCCCACAGGTGCTCTGTGGTGTTTCCACCCACTGCAACTTCCAGCTGGATCACGGATCACGTTTGGATGGTTCTGCGAGTGAGAGCAGGTATCCCAGTACCGGCCTTTCAGGGAGCCCTGCCCATGTGAGCCACACTTGGCAGCCTAGGCTGGCTAGCACAGCAGCTTCTGTGTCCCTCACACCAACCAGGTGACTGGGATCCTGGAAAGGGGCCTGGTAGCTCAACCGTGAAATGTTTACCTGCTAACAGAAAGGCTGATGGTTCAGAGCTACCCAGAGGGCCCTTGGGACAAAGGTCTGGCAATCTGCTCTTACAAAGACTCTCATAGCGACCCTGTAGGACAGGGTAGAAGCACCACCATGAGTTTCCGAGACTGTAACTCTTTCTGACTCTGGAAAGGCTCATCGTTCTCCTACAGAACAGCTGGTGGATTTGAACTTCTGACCAGGCGGATAGCAACCCAAAGTGTAACCACTTTACCACCAGGGCTCTTAAGAGCCTAGAAGCCCTATTCTGGGCTAGTTTCTGTCTGTTAGATGTGGCCAGTGATGAGCTGGCATGGACTCAAGGTCAACTAGCAACAGCAACAACAGGAACATGGGCAGCAGCATCTAGAAAGGAGCAAACCTTAAAGGCTTGAAGGTAATCAAGCGGCCATCAAGCTCAGAAGCAACAAAGCCCACATGAAAGAAGCACACCAGCCTATGCAACCACGAGGTGTCGAAGGGATCAGGTATAAGGCATCATCAGAACAAAAAAATCTTACCATAGTGAATGATGGGGGGAGTGTGGAGTGGAGATCCAAAGCCCATTAGTAGGCCACTGGAGATCCCCTTGCAGAGGGGTCTCGGGGAGGAGATGAGCCAGTCAGGGTGCGATGTAACAACGATGAGAAATACAACTTTCCTCTAATTCCTAAATTTTTCCTCCCCGTTCCCACTACCATGACTCGAATTCGACCTTGCAAGTCTGGCTAGACCAGAGGATGTACACTGGTACAGATAGGAATTGAAAATACAGGGAATCCAGGGCGGATGAGCCCTGCAGGACCAGTGGTGTGAGTGGTGAAACAGGGAGGATAAAGGGAGAGTGGGTAGGAAAGAGGGAACCGATTACAAGGAACTATATGTGACCTCCTCCCTGGGGGACGGACAACCGAAAAGTGGGTGAAGGGAGACGTCGGACAGGGCAAGATATGACAATATATCAATTTATAAACTATCAAGGGCTCATGAGGGAGGGGGTAACGGGGAGGGAGGGGAAAATGAGGACCTAATGTCGGGGGTTTAAGTGGAGAGAAAATGTTTTGAGAATGATGTACAAATGAGCTTTACACATTTGATGTGTGTATGGATTGCGATAAGAGTTGTATGAGCCCCTAATAAAATGTTAAAAAAAAAAAGAAAAAGAAAAACCTGTAAAAAAAAAAAAGAAAGGAGCAAACACGTCGGACAGGGGAGGAAGAACCGCAGTCACAGATGGGCAGTCGCGAAGCATCTGGTGGCCCTGTCCTGACACCCAATATGCTGAGAGCCGCAGCTGCTGGGGGAGGGTGTGTCACCCATGTGCATACATAAGGAAAGATGGACTCAAGGTCGACCCCTGGGTACCAAGTGGCTCAGACAAACTCAAACCAAGTTCATCTATGTAGTAACTCAGGGCCACCTGGACATTGGGGGGGTGGGCGGGAGGGGGCTTTCTCACAGGGACTATAAACAGTGATGGTGAGGCCCATGAGTCCCAAGCTTAACTAGCCAGAATTATTATTTGAATCCATCAAAATCAATCAATCAAGTAACCGAACTGTTATAATCTAAGTGTCAAGGCACTTAATAATCACTCGTCTGAGGGCATTTGTGGAAGCCCTGTTATATGTACAGTTGTGTATGGAGCCAATCCCAACTTATAGTGACCACATCAGTCTGGACAAACCTACCCCACAGGGTTTCTCAAGCAGTTTGCCTGTCATGGGGCAGCTGGTGGGTTCAAATCACTGACCTTTGGATTAGTAGCCAAGACTGTAAATGTTTACAGGCACAGACTGCCTCATCTATCTTCTGGGTTGAGGTTAATGGGTTTGAACTGTCAACTTTGCCGTTAGCAGCCCAAGGCTTAACCCACAGCCCCCTCAGGGATCCTTAAGAGATTCCAATGATGACTCCCTTTTTGGACATCTTCCCTCCCCTAATTAACTGGAAGCTCCCCAGCAGCAGAGAGGGCACAGCATCAACGCCAAGAATGGTACCTTAAATATCAGAAGGGTCTCTTTATAGTAAACTTGTATCCCATGAAATCGTGAGAATGGCAATTAGCTCCTTTACTGGTTTGGAACTTGAGTTCAGATTTACTCACAACAGCCACATCTAAAGAATAGTTGGGGACAGAAGGAACCAAAGAAGGAAGGGTTCATGTTACCCACTAAACACTGGTTTGTTGGCAAACATATTTCCCTGGCGACAGTCACAGGTCAGACATCTTTGCTGAAGTTTGAGCGAGTTCTCTGTTCTCCTGGGCCTGTCTAAATCCTTCCCAAGGTTACACCGGAAGACACAATAAGAAATCACCAAGGCGTGAAGCCTGTCCAAATCCATTACATTCTGGACGGGATCCATGGCTCTTAATCCTTCCCAAAGGACCAACATGTAGAAATGTTCTATTTGCCTTTCTGCTGTCTACAAACATCTGCAATCACTTGGGGACGTCCAGCCCTGTCAGATGACCAGACTACACCGCACTGAGGCTGAGAAGCAGAAAACCACCCTCCTCAGAGACCTGGGGGCTCTGCTTCTGAAACGTGTGAAGGTGCAGCCGAACAAACGTCCCGGGCAGCCCCAGCTTCCTCCCTGCGGGTCCACCACGGGCACCTCCCCAGGTCCTGTAGAGTTCATTTCTCCTGACGAACCATTGTACCCCGACGAGGAAAACACCTTAGGATACTGCATTGCAGCCAAGTTCCATTTGTTACAAATAAAAAAAATAGGGGAGTCTCCTAGGAAACTGAGGATACTATTCCTGTCTTATTTTTAATATTAACCGGTTGACGTTGAGGTGACCCCAACTCATGGTGACCCATGTGTTCCAGAGCAGACCTGTGCTCCACATGGGTTCCAGGGATCAGCTTTTCCAAGTAGATCACTGAGTCTTTCTCCTGAGGCCCCTGGGGGTGGACTCGAACTCCGAGCCTTCTGGTTAGCAGGGAGTGTGCCAATTTTTCACAACACCAGGCTCTCTATTTTACTACCGAGTAGATTTCATTCAAATTCTTTACATAGCTTTATTAATAAGGCCGGAAAAAACGTGGTAGCCCAAATGCGGATTTCATCTTTGACTTAGAGGATATTTGAAACGATGCCCCTGTTTTTTACTGCCTGCAAAGTTAAAATGATCTATTGGGAAAACGAGGATTCCTATCAATAGATCCAATAATTTACAACAGCAGCAGCTTTATCCAAGACCTTATAACGAAGGAAAATCAAAAGGCCTAAACTCACTGCCATCGAGTTGATGCCAATCATAGTGACCCACTAGGGACAGGTAAGACTGCCCCTGAGTCTCCAAGGCTTTAACTTCGCAGGGGTAGGACGCGCCATGTTGCTCCTGCAGAGAGGCTGGTGGTTTCGAACTGCTGACCTTGCAGTTAGCAGCCCAACTCGTAATCACTACATCACCGAGGCTCCATATCACGAAGGAAGCAAGAGCTAAATCTGATGGACTCCTCCTCCTCCCTAAACCAGACCAAGCCAAGCCCAGGCCACCGGCCATAACGGCCCTGCAGAGGTTTTCCGAGGTTGTCAGTGTTCACAGGAGCAGATGGCCTCCTTTTCTTCCCATGGAGCGGCTGCCAGGTTTGAACTGCTGACCTTGTGGTTAGCAGCCCAATGCTGAAATCCACAATGTGCTGGCTTTCCTTACAATGTTAAGAAGTATTTTTCTAAGACTCCCATAGGGTAAAATAAGAGATACTGCCCATCTCTGTACAAGAAACGTGGGGCCAATTGCATGTGCTTAATGGGGAAGCATTGTTATCAAAGGCAGTTGCTACCAGGGCTGCTTAAGGGGGTAAACCGAGGCACTGGTAATGGAAACCATTCAGCACGCCACCCAGAAGGCTCTATGAAAGGGCTTTAAACAGTTTGTGGAAAAATGGAATCAAGAGGGAATGGAGTTTTCCCACGGACTTTTTGAAGCCCCCTTGGACGGATGTAATGGGAAGGAATGACCTGCAGAAGCAGTCATATTAAGCCAGAGTGGCT